TGCAGCGTGCGCGACGCCGCTTTCGGGGGATGATCCCGGACCCTAGCTTACCCGAATATTGGATGTGGTGTAGTGACAAGTGGCACACACGCATGGTCACCGGTCCGAATCCCAGATCGATATCCGCCTGGGCCAACCGAGAATTTCATCCTTCCGGGGTCGTATAATTGGTGCCAGACTCGTCTGGGAGGATAAAAGCACCAATTTGTACATCGGCTGGCCACAGCAAGTCATTGTATGACCACTGACCACATGAGCATTCAGTACGCTCCTTAGATTCTGGGTGGAAGTCGACTTTATCCTTTTATCCCACATAACTGTTGTCTCACCATCCGTTGTCGAATATGTGAGAAATCCCGCTTCTACTGGGATAATACACTAGACTTATTGGACGCGCCAGAGAGAGTTCGCTGTGGCTCTTTCAAGCAAATTTTGTACAAAAAATTTGAAAATTTGAACAAAATTAGAGGACAGTTGATTGAATCACTCAAAAAATTCATTATGGTCCCAGACTGCCTCTTCGGACTGGTTGATAATTTCTCGGCTCCCGACTACTGAGCATAGCGATGGAAAATTCTTGGTGGACGTTTCTGCTTCTCTGGTCGATTTCAGTGTACAGACCCTTTTTCTACAGTTACAGTAAGAATTTAATTACACCGTATGTTGCGGAAATTCTGAATAAATTAAGCCCAACTCATTCGAGCATGAAACCTTTGTACTGGGATTCATCACCGCTACGAAAGAGATCTTTACATAGAAACTTTGCCTTTTTTCGGCTGATGTTTTGATCACTTGCAGATGGGTAAGTACTTACAAATGTCGTTCGAAAGTGTAGTGCTAGTTGTTGCTGCAGCAACTGCTGCTGATGCTCTTTCAAAAACTGTAGGGGACTTAAAGAATTTTTTGATGTGATCCCATAAAAATTACGTTTGCATACTCTCAAACGCGCCTTCAACCTGTATATTCGAACACCTGCTCTTTATTTCGTTACATTACTTTACACAATCCGAAATCCTTGTTAAACTTTCACCTTACATCGACGAATAACATTACTCAGTATGAATAACGTTTTAAACGAGCTTCAGGGAATGATAGGACTGAGAAAAAGCATTCAAAACCTCTGTTTTGTCTCAGGAGGATAAAGCTGCACAAAGCCTACCAGCTTTGTCCAAGTTCGTCCTCCTGAGACAACACAGAGGTTCACCGCACGTGCCGGAACAGCTGCAAACATAGAGCTCCTAAAAGTTCATCCCAAGAGCCTAGGCATCCTGAAAAA